TTTTGGACCATGAGTTCAAACGGGGTCAAGTTGACACTACTCTTTTTATCAAGAAAGATAACCAAGACATCCTTTTGGTTCAAGTTTACGTAGATGATATCATATTCGGTGCTACTAACGAGGTTTTGTGCAGGGATTTTTCCGATATGATGCAAAGTGAATTTGAGATGTCGATGATGGGAGAATTAAAGTTCTTCCTTGGGCTACAAATTAGACAATGCAAAGAAGGGACATTCGTGTGTCAAACGAAATATTGCAGGGAATTGCTTAAGAGATTCGATGTTACCGAATCCAAATCCATTGACACACCGATGAGAACCTCTTGCTATCTCAACAAGGATGAAAAAGGTAAAGAGGTAGACATCAAACGCTACCGAGGTATGATCGGCTCTTTACTTTATCTCACCGCGAGTAGACCGGATATCATGTACTCCGTTTGTATATGCGCTAGGTATCAATCATGTCCTAAAGAGTCGCACTTGATTGCGATCAAAAGGATAATGCGATATCTCGCGGGCACGTTGAATGTAGGTCTTTGGTATCCCAAAGGTTCAACATGTCATCTTGTTGGCTATTCCGACTCGGATTTTGCAGGTTGCAAACTCGATAGGAAAAGTACCAGCGGTACTTGCCACTTATTCGGTCATTCGCTAATCTCGTGGTTTAGTAAGAAATAGGTTAGTGTTGCACTTTCCACCACCGAAGCGGAATATGTCGCTGCGGGAAGTTGTTGTGCCCAAATTCTTTGGCTAAAACAACAACTAGTGGATTTCGGCCTCATACTTGATCACATCCCTATTAGGTGTGACAATATGAGCGCTATCAGTCTAACGAAGAACCCCGTTCTTCACTCGAGGACTAAGCACATAGAAATTAGGCATCACTTCATACGAGATCACGTCCAAAAGGGAGATGTCACAATTGAGTTTGTTGAAACGAAACATCAATTGGCAGACATTTTCAAGAAACCCCTTAGTAGGGAGAGTTTCTTTCACATTCGGAACGAACTTGGAATTTTGGATATCTCTATGAACTAATCCATTTTTTTTTACTATACTAATTTGAGCGTCGGAGGCGCGATAAATTCTTTTTTGCAGGGCTTTTGTTGTAGGTATCTCTTCCCTTGGTATTCAACCTAATTGGACTTGATATTTTTTTCTGTCAAACAAATTTTAATCGATTACTCCTCGAAGAGAAATCGATTAGTCGCCTCTGTCCCTCTTAATCGATTAATTGACTTTTGTTAATCGATTAAAATCCGAAACTTTTTGCTCTGCGTCACTTTAATCGATTAATTTGGTTACATTAATCGATTAGACTCATCTATCCATCGTAATCGATTAATCACGTTTGCTTAATCGATTAATAGCTTGCAACACAAACATTTGGTCTCAAATTTTAATCGATTAAAATTCTTCATTTAATCGATTTTGCCTCGGCTGTGTTCCTTAATCGATTAAATACCTTTATTTAATCGATTAATATTCGACTTTTTCTTCTCTTTATAATCCGCCAGTGCCTTCGTCTTCATCGCCATCTCAGTTTTACAGAGAAGGTGCGAAACCCTAGCTCAAACCCTTGCTCAAACTTCATCAAAAATTTCTCAAATTTGTTCAATTTTTTTTACCAAATTTCATCAATTACAAAAAGGAAGAATGCCAAGGTGCAAGAACGCTTCCTCGGGTCAAGAAACCGCGGCAGAGGAGAATGAGAGGCCATGGCGTCGTGAAGGGAGCAAGTATATTCACATTCAAACGGGTCTCGCCTTCAACACTGGAGCTTCAGTCGAGAGGTTCCACAACATCTTCCTCACGAAGGAGATCGTCTCTCCCAAGATCGTGAACAAGGACCTCTTCAAATCGGCGACCTATGCTCCGAGTAAGTCTATGTTTCTTCAGCAAAGTTTGCTTCGTTTCATTCATTTGACGTATGAATTTTTCTGTCCAAATCTTATACGTCAATTTTATGCAAATCTTCGTACCACTAAGGGAGGTTCGCCATCTCTCATTTCCCATGTTGACGGCAAAACCGTTTTCATTGACGGTGCCGGTTTGACTTCTTTGTTTGACCTTCGTCGTGGTGAAATTACCGAAAACTTGGATGAAACATTCCAAGATGAGGCAAT